TGAGTCTGTATAAACATCAACAAGCTGAAAAATAAAACCAAAGTTTTTTTTTTAGATAATGTAATCTTGTTCAAATAGATTTCATAAAATTGGTATCGAAAAAAGTATCGTTCAGGAACCGGTATCGAAGTCAAGGTATCGGTATCGGTATCGATATCGAAAATTTTTGAACGATACCCAGCCCTACATATAATGAAAGTCAAAGGTGTTCAATATTATTTGTTATTTCGGTCCTCAGTGATTTTCACTGTATGGACAAAACAGTCCCTATGGATGCATCGCAAGAGATGAAGAATGCAGGCTTTCCACTGAGTTTTCTCGGTACCTAAAGCAACTCCACACCACAAAAAAAAATAAAAAAATTTGTGGACATCAAAAGCACTCCGGTCCACACCAGAAGCTCCAGTGTGAAAAGTCACTGAAGTGTTCAGACAAGTTCATGAGCAGATTTTCAGGAGTCTGTTTATATATATATATATATATATATATATATAGTATTTTACTTACCCCACTGGGAGATAATTTTACTTATTTTTAGCAAAATGCACTTAATTTAGTTTTTCCCCCTGGAAACAAGACCTCTCTCTCTCTCTCTCTGATGAGGCATTTCCTCTCAATTCTCTTTAGATTTTCTCTATTGGAACATCAAATCCATCAATATTCTACAGACATCGCAGCCAAATCACTGAGCCCCAGCCATCATCGAAGCCTGACACACACACACGCACTGACACGTACATGCGGCCACGCTCGCTTTTACACGTGCCTATGCACAAACTGAGCCCCAGATCCCAATCATTTATCTATTAGGCACACACACTCTCTCTCTCTCTCAACACTAAACTCAGCCTCACACATTTGCATGGATCTTCACAAAGCTAATAAGCCGCACAAGTAAAAGGAACAACAGGAAATCTCACTGCTCCACAAACCCCAAACGCAAGCACATCCTGTCCCAAAAAACGGTGCATGATGAAACTCTGGGAAAGGGGGGATACGACAGGAGGAGAGAGACAGAGGAATACTGGATCAGCAGATGGTGAAGCATGGGACTAACATTGATGATGATAAGAGGAAGAACAGGAAGTGTGTTAGGGGAAGTGTAAGGGGCAATCAGTGCAAATAAGTGTCATTTTAGTATTATTTATATAATATTGGAGTTCTTAATATTTTTAATTAGCTTTAATTTTTATATTTTCAATGTGCTTTTGCCATAATTGTTTTAATATTTACTTTTGGATCTAATTTATTTAAATTTCAGTTATATTAGTTTTTTGTTTTGTTTGTTTGAGTAAATTTTAGTATTTCAAACTTATTTTTAGTTCGCTCTCAATGCGACATTTGTGATTTACCTTTTTTTAATCTAATATTTGATTTTATTATTTATTTCAGCTTTATTTTAATTAACAAAAACTACTAACTAACATTAACAATTGTAATTACCTATAACAACACTGCTGCAAATATATAAAATATATTCCACTAATTCCACTTTTTTTTTTTGTAGTAAATGCATTCAGTTCCTTTTAAGATGCAAGAATTGAGTTCATTACTTGGATTACGTTACAAAAATGAATGTCAAATTAAATAAATGGCATGAAGCATTTCACTAATTGCAAGTGTTATCTTTTAGTCCTAAAAATAACATACTGTCTTCAGTCCTCATTTAAATAGACATGTGCAGCCCTCTCGATTTACACACGCAATCTTTCACGCCTCAATGAACAAACTCCACTGCTCTGATTATATATCAGGCCTAACACAACTGCCATATTAAAAAGCCATGCATGAAAAATGGCAAATAGTGATTTATGATCGGCTATTGAAAACAAGCAGGAAGATGGTACAGTTGAGCAATTCTGTAAATGCAGAGGTATTAGACCACACACACAGCTGGACTGAAAATTAGGCTGCTGATAGGTAGGATGGATTTAAGTCCTACTGGGAGATAGCTAATATACTTAGAAACGAATAAACACTGCAGAAATGAGACATCAGGAAAACACTTGCATGAAAAACAGCAAGTTGTGCATGAACATTAATGGTGTGAGGGCCTCTGTGATTGTGACGGCCTAAACGGATGGGAGTTGTATCACTGCTTTTGAAGTATAATGAGACAAAATGTGCGATAGAAGGGAAGGAAAATAAAAATAAATAAACCTAACCTTTTTACTCTCCTCCATCTCGTGTTCAAACATAGCGCTGAATACTGGGGAGCGTGCTGTGAAAGTGAAAGAGAAAGAGTTTTTAAATACACAACAAAAAACATATGAAAAAAAAAAAATCTGGTAATTATAATAGTGAAACAGCGACAGGACACTTTTTCAGCAGCCTTGGTTCCCCAAGTATTTTTCCCATTCATGTTCTCCAAAGGCAATTTCAAAATGTTCTTCGATAAAGAGTTCATGCCATGAACAAACTCAACAAGCTCTGAGATGAATCACAACATTACAAACTTTGATATGAAGCAAAAAACAAAAACAAAAAACAACTATAAAAACCTGAAAAGGAAAGCTACAATACTGTCTACTCTTTTATATAAGGAAAAGTACTGCTTCCATGAAACTTGGCAAATGATGTAATCAATTCAATTTACTTGTAAAGTGCTTTTTTGTTAAATCATAAGAGGGATGGTGAACAAAGATTCTGAGGAAATGTTTCAGTGATCAACATCAAAAACGAAACATCTAACAGTGGTTCCTCAGACAATTTGTGCCTTGGTGCAATTGGCGATCCTTTTGGCTGATTAACCCAGGGGATGATGGCGGCTCAGACCTTACACTCTCTGTTAAGTCAGAATATGGAGTCAGATCTCTCTAGGGCAACTTGTTTAAAGGAGTGTGTGAAGTCTGGCACATTCTCTCCCTCACACACACACACAGTCTAATCACAGCTCAAACACCAGCGATCAGCTCTGTCTCCATGGCGATTAATGAGGACTACCAGGTACAGCCAGATAACGAGGAATCCCGCCTCACCATGAGCGACAGCGGAAGAGAGAGAGAAGCTGTTTCTGAAACCTGAAACATTCTGCCCTCTCAGGCAGTATACATCGGTAGGAAGGTATTCAAATGTTAACTAACATCATGTCTAAGATACCTCTGTCTGGTCGATTTTTGAAGGAAGCACAGATGCTTCTTTCGCTGCCTATGATATCCCACAATCCTGCACGTGTGGGGCAGTAGTCATATGTCTGACAGAGCTCACTGTTGAGTTCACTTCTCACTGTTGAAAACAGTGAAATAATTTATACATTTACATTTACATTTTCAACTTATGATTCATTTTTGACAAGATATCGGCACTGTAGTCATTAAATATTCACTTGGTTATCTCTAAAGCTCGCATGTATTTGCTCTTGAAATGTAAAACCAGATTCCTTAAAAGGTGCATTTATACTAAAAAGCTGTCTGCTAAGTGACTGATTGACTGAGCAATGAGACAGCTGTCTTTGGTTTTGAACACAGACACAGAGAAAGAAGACGGAGGGAGATTTATTTACTGACACGACTTCAACAACTTTAAAAATTTATAAATAAACTTTTCAATGGAGTTTTTTTATGTGAATTTGTTGTGAATTTTGTATAAAAAATTTTCTTTGCTGTCACTAAAATGTACTAATGTATAAAGGTCAACAGCCACACTGGTCTGTAGATATCTGCATCCGTGCTGTTGATAACTAAAGCAAACTAAAGGCTGGGACACACCAAGCCGACTTCAAAGAACTAGCGGCGACGAAAGCCGACGGTGTTGTCGCCCCGCATCGGCAGCGTCGGGCCAAAAAGCTGTGCTCGAACACACCGCACAAACTACAGCCGATGGCAAACTAACACGTGCGTTCTGCGCATGCGTGAGAGGAATTAACGGTCTATATCAGCAGCTATCAATAGTATAAATTCGTCATTCAAAAGGAGAAACCGAAAAACAAAGATATACGAGATAAAAGCATATATACGAAACGTAAACAAAGCAGCGCTTGCTTACCATTTTGAATATCAGTAACGTTGATAACTTTAATCATTTTAAGCGGCTCATGTTGTTATGAAAACATTCGCGTATTAGAATGATTGGGAAATATCACGTAACATTTAAACAGCCTACTGTCTGTACCACCTTCGTTTACGTGCTTGTTTTCATCACTTTCGCTTTAATTCTCGGGCACTGACTCGTTTGCTTAACAGAACATTCAATCAGAGCTCTCACTCTCGTAGACGGTCCCGACAACCCCGATGCCGATTCAACATGTTGAATCGGGCAGACTGCCGCCGACGTGAGCCGACGAGTGGAACACACCAAACAAACTAGCCCGACCGTCGCTCACCGTCGGCCTGACGTTGGCCAACAGCCGACCGTCGGCTTGATGTGTCCTGGCCATAAAACAATAAGAAATAGTTTCATTAATTAAAATAAGACTGAAATAAATTAAAAACATTCAATGAAAAAAATTACACAGGCAACATTTTTTAATTTTCATTTAAAGGGGTCATATGATGCGATTTAAATTTTTCCTTTCTCTTTGAAGTGTTACAAGCTCTTGGTGCATAAAGAAGATCTGTAAAGTTGCAAAGACTAAAGTCTCAAATCCAAAGAGATATTCTTTATAAAAGTTAAGAGTCAACCACGCCTACCTAAAACGGCTCGTTCTAACACGCCCCCACATGTCTACGTCACGATGTGGGAAGATTTGCATAATGCTGCCCAAATGTTCACGCAAAGAAAGAAGGAGTAACTTTTATTCTCACTGTAGTATTGTTGCTGCCGCCATGTCGTGAAGACGCGTGTGTGTTTGTGTTCTGTGTTTCGTTGTGAAAGCGAAACTACTTTCGCTAGCATAAACACATTTCATTACACCAAATACATAAAATAATGTTCTTTTTAGCGACATCATATGACTCCTTTAAGTACTAAAATTAGAAAAACAGAAATAAAATAAATTAAAGCTAAATAGAAATATTAAAAAGAAATGAAAAAAAAATCTAATACTTAAACTAAAATTAAAATTAACATCAAGAAAATATTGACATTACTCACGTGTAACAATCTTCTGCAATCATTTTCTTTAAACTGTCATAAGATCGAATCTCAGCATATGTGAATCTCTGAAAAAAAAATGCATGCAAGTGTGTGTGTTTCCCACGTTACCTGCCAGTATGGCTTTGTGTGCCTGGAACTCCTGCCCTGCGACACACAGCGAGCAGTCCGTGAATCTGGAATGTTCCCACAGTCCACCCAGTTCATCTGCCAGCCGGCAGTCAGGAACCTTCACCATGTTCATGGTGTTCTGACCAGAGATGTTCACAGAGTCCTGCACCACACTCACCTAAACACACAAAAGCAAAATGCAAATCCAAATCAGTGCTATGCATGAAAATTTGTTTAAAGTAAGTGTTGAGTAAATATTGTGTAAAATAATAATAATAAAATAAAACTAAATAAAAGATAACCAGCGCACATTTGCATTGTTATAATTACATAAATTATGGATTAAATCAGCCATTAGACACCCTGCTTATGGTAATGGCCATAAAACACACACACACATAAGTCAACCAAACTTTAAAGACACCAGATTCACGTGTACTGGGTTAACTTTTATGTTTATTTTAAAGACACATTTAAGGACATCCATATGTGAGCCAATATGGGAGACCCTGATCACAGTGGCTCAGGGGGGACACTACAACGACTGCTCAACAAGGGCAGCAGTCTAGTTATCTCTTAATTTACACAAATTGCCTCAATTTGTTACTGGTCTCTGTGTGTGAGCGTGTGTATGTGTGTGTGGCAGGCCACCATGCTGACTTAGCCACCTGTTCCCGCAGACATAAGTAGGTTAATTTATCTCACTCCAGGAGTCACACACACATGCTGAAATGCCACAGGTTCTCACACCAAGTTAATTGCCATATAAGGCACATTTCTTTAATGAGCAAAACTCCTCACAGACAAACCTCAAGACTAAAGTTGTTTCAAGAACTTGTGAGCTGTCTACCTGTACAGCATCATAAGACAAGTACAGAATGTTCATTTCAAATTTGAAAAGTCTGCTAATGTAATGCAAGAAAACTGGAAATTTCTCTGCAAAATGATCTCAAAATGCTCAAAGGTGAAGAGTCTGAGGTAAAATCAGGGATTATGAGCCGACAAGAGTGAAATGACACGAAAGAAAAGTGAAAGGGAGTGAGAATGAGATGGACAGAGATGGAGGAGAGCGAGTATGACACACAGGAAGAGGGCAAAAGAGCACCACAAACAGGAAATTAAATGTCAAGGACCCTTGTATGTTCTTAATGGAGGAGCAGACTTTCCCCTGAAGGAAAACAGAAAAGACAGCAGACGTGAAGGAGAGGGACAAACAAGGAAAGAGGACGAGAGAACGAGCAAGATGAAGACAGGTTGGGGAGCAGAAAACATATAACTATTTCCTGTTCATTCTTTCTGCTGTGCATAAAGCTAAAACTAACAAGCTGTTATGGGCATCACAACACATAAATTCTTCACTAAAACACTGCAATACCAGCCAAACAGCTGCACTAACATCACAACAACATACACCACTATTAAAACAACTGAATAAAGTCACAAGAGAAATAAAAATATCTATTAAGCAGCATTCACAGAGCTTCAAGCTAGAATAAAATAAAAATAAAGAACGAAAGAGGCACATAGACAGATGAGCCAACCTTTTTTTTTTTTTTTT